GAGAAAAGAATGGGATTTTTTCTCTTCGAAACGTGTGTTGTCTTTATGAAATTCGTGTATTTTAAACGTTTAATTAAGAAGTAAAAACCTTACAGTGTACACAAAGATTCTGAGCTGATCACGAGGAAGAAAAATCACCCATTTTTCAAGCATAAAAAGTGGTTTTTAACTCTCAAAACCTGTTTTTATAGGTTTTAAAGTCGTGCAATGTCTAAGTTAAGCCAGAACACATCATTATATCTCATTTTTTATTTCTTTTATAAAAAAATTAAAAATCGTTTGCCCAGCCTACTTTAATAAACTGACCACAGCTGTGTCATGAGCAAACCTAATAAGGTGTATATCTGTGTGTTTGCTTATGCAATCATTGGTGTACAAAATGTACAGCAGAGGGTAGAGCAGAAGTATAGCCTGTTAGTTAGGAAGTCCAGCACCCACCTTATCAAGTTCTCATTCAGATTGAAGTGCTTTGAGAGTTTCTGTGCAAGCAACAATGTTGTATTGAAAGCAAAGGAGAAGTCAGCAAATAAAATCCTTACAAAGGTCCCTGGTTGGTCCAGATGTTGATAGACCAGATTTAACAATGTATTGCATCGTCTACTCCTCTCGTTTCCATGTATGCAAACCGCAGGGGGTCGATGAGGGCTTGTGTGATCTTAGTGATGTGTTGCTTCACTATTCTCTCAAGAGTTTTCATTGGGAGAGATGTGATGGCTACGGGCCTGTAGCTGTTAAGGCCACAAGGCTTGGCAGTTTTAGGTATAGGAATAATGATACATTTCTTCCACAGAGAGGGAATGATCTGTGAGTTTAAGGACATCTGGAAGAGAAAACTAAAAATATTACAAAGCTGATCTGCACAAAATTGTAGGACCCTACCACCCACATTGTCTGGACCTGCACTTTTCTTAATATTGATTTTCCTAAAAAGTCTACATACTTCTGCGTTGTCAATATTAAAGAAAACCTCTCCAGATACAGGGTGAAAAGCACTATGAGCTGAGGTGGTTGTAGAATTTAACTCAAAGCAGGTATAAAACACATTCAGATCATTGGCCAGCTGTTGTCCATCCATACCATTTAACAGAGTTATAGTGCTGCCACTACTCTTCTGAGGGATATTGGCCATGCTTTTAATGCCCTGCCATGCCATCCTGGTGTCACCTGTTGTCATGGTGTTCTCTATTTTTACCTTGTACTGATCTCCCCTTTCACCTGGGTGCTGGGTGTCCTCTTGAGAAAAAGCTTGTTTCTTTTTTAGGAGGACATGATTAAGGCTTTTTGTTACCCAGGGTTTGTTATTGGGAAAAGCCTTGGTTTTGGTAAGGATGGTAGAGTCGACGCAGAAAGAAAAATAATCTGATACAGAGTCCTGGCCTTTTATTATTCTGGTCTCCAGTTTGATCCTCTTGAACAGCGCCTGGTAGATCGGCCTGAGAAGCACAGTGTTGTGGTTGGAGTTGCCCAGTGGAGGTCTTGTGGGGGACGAGTAGGCGTTAGGGACTGTCCCATAACAACGATCGATTATTTTATTCAACTGCGTGGGGCAGGTCACGTATTGGTAATACGTTGAAAGACTGTTATTTAGCGTGCAGCTGTTAAAGTCTCCTAAAATAAATTTAGGAGCATCTGGGGATATAGTGTCCAGTTTCTGGGTAGCATCGAAAATTATATTGGAAGCCTCTACCGCAGTGGTTCTCAAACTGTGGTACGCGTACCGGCAGTGGTACGTGGATTGCCGCCAGGTGGTACGTCAAATGACCCTGGAACTGTTGTGTGCTCTGAAAAATAGGGACAGGTTTTCATATTTTGTATTTTAATACGTGTCGAATATGCAGCCTACGTACTACGATACAGTGCGCGCTAATACTTCAGTGGACACAAGAGATACTCTGTAATTCTATACCACTCTATAGGAATGCATGCTACGGATGCAAGTGACCAATTGTATTTAAAAAAAGCTACTGTATCTCCAGCAAATAGGGAGAAAGGAGAATGTGCGTGATTTTGGAACAATGCAAACGTTGTAAACACAGGAATGCATAGAAATACGTGCTACGAATGTAGGTAATCTTGTGAGCACACGAAAGCGTGATAACAGAAAAATATTTAAGAACTGTTCTAATTTGAGAAAAATACACTGAGCGTCTCTGTGTTTCGCTCCCATGCGCATGAAATAAAAACTTTAAATAAATACGGAAATAAAAATGGAAACGTGGAAAAATGCAAGCTTGCGGATTGCTAAAGCAGGTAAGCTACACTATTTTTGAAGAACCTTATTTACCGTTGGCAAAAGAGCTGACACGTATTATGTGTAGAGAAAAGGCTGCTAAACAGCTCGACCTGCTGTCCCCCTCCCCTGAAAGACACAGTCATTCATAGAATTATTGAAATGAAGGATTATATCAAAAGTACACTGATAGAGCACGTTAAGATGAGCAGATGTTTTTCACTGCAATTAGATGAGTCTGTAGATGTAGTTGATTTGGCCAATTTGCTCATTTACGTTAGATATGACATGGAGACTTTCTGTTCTGTAAACCGCTACCAACAGGAACTACAGGAGAGCACATATTTCAGCCTCTGAATGAATTTATCGAAGAGAATGGCCTCGACTGGATAAAATGCATCTGAGTTTGTACAGACGGTGCTAGAGCAATGACAAGCCGACATAACAGTGTAGTTTCACGAATTAGAGAGGTTGCTCTAGAAATTAATGTACGCATTACAACATCCACCGCGAGACCTTTGCCGTCAAGAAAATGCCTGACGATTTAATATCTGTTAGACTCTGTTGTGTTTTGTATCAAGGGTCGAAAAATGAATTCACATCTGCTTTGCTCAACTAAACAGGCTCACCCCTCTCACTGAAATGGTGCTTTTTTATTAGTTGTCGTTAATGTTGTTTTTCTGTAAAACACTTTGAGAAGCCACCTTTAAAGGCCCTATATCAAATAAAGTTTATTATTATAATATTTATTATATGTATGTGTGAGTGTGTGCACGCGCGCTCATGTTGGTCATTGAGAATTTCTGGGGTTCCTATGAGATGATGACTTGTAGGTGGTACTTGTCGATGCTTTGGTTGGATTAGGGGTGGTACTTGGTCCAAAAAGTTTGAGAACCACTGCTCTACCGCATTTGCTTTAGGGTGGATATAGACCAGGTAATAAAAAGCTGCGGAAATTCTCGAGGGAGATAGAAGTGGAACAGAGAAACACTGAGCAGTTCAATGTCAGGCGTGCACACACTCTCACAGACAGTGATGTTCTCACGCCTGCGGTTGTTTATCATCAAGCAGACCCTTCTGCCGTAATATTTACCTGTGCTTTCAGGATCGCTGTCCAGCCGCTGTAGAGAAAACCCCTCGGGCTTCACAACATCGTCTTCCACGGTCTCATCCAGCCAAGTTTCCTTAAAAGCTAGAATAGAGGCATCCCGAAACTTGTGCAGGAACTGCACGCTAGCATGCAGTTCATCAAGGTTGCTCCTCAGTGAGTGCACGTTTGACAGAATGATGGTGGGCAGTGGGAGCTTTTTCCTCCTCCGCCAGAGCCTCTGTCGCAGTCCTCTCCTCCTGCAGTGCTTGTGCTTAGTTTTCTGATTAAAGTTAGTGTTTTTTGTAGAACACAGAATGTCTTGCGGAAGATTGGCAAACAATGTGTCCGAGGATTGGAAATCTTTGTAACTTAAAGTTAAAAGGAATTCTTGGCTATATTTCAATGATGCCAGCATCACATGCGCCCCAGCCATGGACAGGTAGAGCCAGGTAATCTGTAGAAAACAGCACCAGCAAAGCAAATACCTTGATGAGTTTCATCATATTGCTCCTGATCATCCAGAACATAAATGGTTGTCGGTGAGAAAAGAAGTAATAAAACATAGAAACATGAAAATAAAATAAGAAAAAAAAAGTAGCACATAAAAATTCAAACTAATAAAATGCTAAAAAGTCAGGAAAAGCAGGAGAGGACAAAGACGCCAGTCGCTACAGAGCAGCGCCCATTTCATGACCTCTTCTGAGAGCATCCCAAGGTTAATTCAGATCGCTGAGTCTTACACTTGTGGATAACTGGGCTCAAGGAACCTCACTTTTCATTCAAATATGCTAGGACCTTTCAGGAAGTAGCAGGGAAGATCCTCTACTTGGTTATTCCTGTTTGGCCGGAACCGCTCTGCTGCCTTCATTAACTTACAAGCAGGCTGTCATGGCAGTGACCAAGGCTGCAACTCATTGTGTGTCTTCACTGAACCTCCATGTCTCTGTCTCTGTCTCAGTCTAGGATCCGTCTATACTGGTTATACCACCCACCCCTACTTGGAAGAGTAAACTGAACCTCTATAAACCTTGATAGTAACCATTGTAAAGTTTACCTTGGTATATATATGTATGTTGTGGGTTAATTATTGTCAGTCAGCAGTACAGAAACCCACCATATAAGATCACTTTAAGAGCACAGAAAGAAAAACAAAAAGAATAGAGAAAAGAGAGGAACTGGAAGTTACTCATGATCATCCAAACAAAACCTGAACCTTGCTAGGGAGAGCTTGCTGTTTTGTTTTTAGGGAACTTGGGTTTTCTAGGTAAAAGATACCTCGGTTAGAAATGTCTTTCCTACTTGTGGGTGCATTTCTAGAATAGCGAGAAAGGCTCCCATTTATTTTGTAGCATCTGGGGTGCAGAGAGAGATATTTAACTGCAGGTTGCATTGCATTTAATTTGAAGACAGCTTATCTATTATTTAGGCATTAAGAGTTGGTAAAGTACCTTGCTCAAGGTAAAACAGCAGTGTCTGAGCCCAGTTATGAGGCCAGAGATCCAGCCACTTTGCTACTCTACTTGGCAGCATCCAAGATGGGGACTTTCAAAAATATGACCCTGATCTTTTTTAAAGAAAATCTGAGATTGTGAAGCATGGGACTGCTGAAGTATTAGTCCAGCTGTGAATGAATGATACATATGTGAAAATCTCATATCCAAATTTTCTCTCTTTTTACAGGACTGAAAATGAAGTCCTTCCTCAAGTCTCCAGCCGTAAGTATGAATTTAAGAAAATTTTAAGAATGTTATTTTGTATAAAAGGTTTATAAAAGCATCTTTATAGTTTCCTTTTATGTGATGGGGGTCATGAGGAGATAATGTAAAGATTCTGATTTATCTGCAGAAGAATGTGATGAATTCAGTCATACACTGTAGCTTGGACTAAGAAACATCTACTGTGTGAGCTTGTTAACCTGATGTGTGTGCAGTTACCATCATACTGTTCGGAACTCAGTCTACCAAAGATTAAGATTTTATTTTTTGTAGAATTATTGTAGAATCTGTAAAAGATGTGGCAATGCTTGTCCATTAATGGATATATCCATACAAGAAATATGGCATGTAAGTAAAAGCTGTAGTTGTTTTGTGATACACATGAATCTACTGAGCATTGCCCTTTTCTTGTGCAAATTCATTATTCTTTTTAGAACTGGATATAAGAACACACAAGTACACTTTGAAACATGATGGCTTTCTTGACAAAGTTAATTTCAAAATATTGTTGTGGCTTATTGTTGTACAGCTTCAAATTTCCGATGGCATCCTAACAAATTTGGTTCAGATGTCATTGAAGGTTCAGATGGTTCAGATGTCATTCCAAGGACGATTGTTCAATTAAATAAAATGTAATCTATCCCTATGGTTTTTAACCTTGGAGTCAGAGTCCCAATTATGAGGTTCTCAGAAACAGTTATGAAGGATAGAAAAAAAATAAGAATAATTTCTGTACTTTGTTCACCTTGAAAACAAAAGCTGCAGTACAGAAAATGTTGAAAAATGCTATATATTATGACTATAATGGCGTAGTTTCCATATATAATCAAAATTTACTTTTTATTGTGAATTATTTAAATTATTTAATCTGAATTGTAACTACTGTGAGAAATCTCAATACTTATGACTGTTATTCTTTTAAGCCAACTTTAGTCAGAATGAAATTGGTAAGCCAATCTTGGAAGTGGTGCTAGAGGCAGGGGACTTGCTCTATTTCCCCCGAGGGTTCATTCATCAAGGGGACTGCCTGCCCAGTGCTCACTCCCTCCATATCACTATATCCTCCTACCAGAGAAGCAGCTGGGGAGACCTCATGGAGAAGGCAAGTTTACTTTTCCTTCTGTCCATTTTCAGTAACTACTGCATCCATGTCTATTGTTCTGGAAACTATACCCTGGCAGGCTCCGGAACTACACTGCAGGATGTCATCCTGCATTAGCAGTCCATTGTAGAGCACATTCATGCTTGCATATAGTGGGCAGATGTCAGTTTACCTAGAGTACATGCCTTTGGGTGGTGGAAGGAAATTGGACCAGTAAGACATCATGCAAACATCATGTTGGAGATGTCCCAGAACTAGGTAAAAAACAGGGTCAAGTGTTCTAAGGCATTTTTCAGTTTGAACGACAATTTTAACTTCATTATAAAATACATTCCATGTTTAACTGATCTTTTTCGTCCTATTGTCAAGTCAGTTCTTTTTCTTTTTTCTTTTTTATTTTATACTTTTAGGTACTTTTAGGCAATTTAGGTACTGAGTGTGGGAGATCTTAACTATGGAGGTGATTACAGCAAATTGTAATTTATTGAGACAAATTTCTAACTAGCAATGTTTATTCAGGCTGATTTTTTGTTTATTTCTTGTATGTTTTTGTTTAAGCTATATGCATCATATCTGTGTTCATTAACATCAAAAACAATTTAAAAAGTATGAAGTAGTTTTGCAATGTTGCTTTAAAAATCTGCTTTTACCCTTTTTTGTTTTAAACGTATAATAAACTTTAGCATATGTAGTGGTTGCCTGATGTTGAAAGTGTAAAATTAATTGAAACAAAGGTGTTCCAAAAAACTTTGTTTTGAAAAGACACAGTTATTCTGTTAACACCTCAATTAAGTGGATTTACCCCTAAAGTGGCTTCTGAGCTGGCTTAGTTGTTCAGAGTAATCATAATTAATAATGGTGTCTTAGGTCTTAAGAAACCACAGCAGTAAATACATTTTTAAAGGGGAGGTAGATAACCAAAATAGTGGCCCTAGATGTATGTAATCATGATCTTTTACTTGACATGGGAATCCTGAACCACCCAGTCAGTCTTCATGAAACATTGGATTTAGATGTGTTCTCCTAATGCTGTTTCAATTTTTGCTCATGTAATATATCAAAGGCTATAACTGTAGGGTTATAACATTTGCACATGTTGGGTGTTTAAAACACTTGTGAAAGCTGAAGTTCACAAATAACCCCACAGTATATTATAATTTAATATTTATTCTTTTGAATTGTATTTACATTTTTAAAATTTATTTTTTTTTCCAATAAGGTATTAACTAAAAAAGGTGGCAAATGCCAGTAAACGTAACACTTTCAATTATATGTCATTACACTTTTGTTATAAAGGATAAAAATAAATGTAATTTAAAGGAATGCTCTTCCTCCACAACTTTGAGTTAATAAGGGAGGAGTTATCAACTGATCATGTGGCCGCAGAAGTGCTTCCCGAAAAGTTGAAGAAGCTTGTCAACAAGAAGGGATATAGACTAAAGCATGTCTTCAACACAGATAAAACAGACTCATGGTGGAAAAAATATATCTTTCAGACATTTTGAAGGCGAAGAGATTTATGATCTCAAGATTTAAGACAGAGTGAGTGGTGTGACTTCTGTGCGGTCAATTGGCCAGTCACATGATAAAGCCAGGCTTGCTGTCCCTGTTTACAACCCCAGGGCATTATGCAGCCAGAATAACAATCTCTTGCCCATTTATTGGTAGTCATATAAAAAGGCTACCTTTTTCACTCGCTAGAACGAAGACTGGGATGCCATCTAGCACTTGAGATTTGAGATTCAAATTCTGCACCCAGTTGCCAACAATAACAATGGATACAGTAAACATTAATTGAGTTGTTGAATTGTTATTATTTTATTTTTATTTTATGATTAGCTTCTTCCAGCTGCTTTGCAGTTGGCCGTTGAGGACGATGTGGAGTTCAGACAAGGACTTCCTTTGGACTATCTCAGTTACATGGGAGTGCAACACTCTGAGAAGGTAAACGTTTTCATGGTACATAATAAATACAGGATTAAGGGTAGAAAGTATTTGAACTGTATAAAAAACTAAAATCAGTTAAAATGCTGGTGAGGTACTTTTCATATCACCGTAGCTGATACGTCTTATCAGATATGTCTTAGTCTTATCAGTCTCACAGGCATAAAAGGTGATAGTAATCGCAGAACAGCATTCACTTGCATTTAAATCATAGAGTTTATCAACTGGTACACATATAGAAGCAGATTTAAAACGATCATAGTATGATATTTTAAATTCTGTTTAATAACGTTTAAACCATTCCATTCTCTAAATTTGTTTTGCTAATAACATGCATGGCAATAAGTATTTCATCCCTCTTTACTATTTTATCTGAGGTTTGGTTTTATTCAAATACTGTATATTTACAAATATAATATACATGATGTTGTTACAAATAGGGGGTTGCAAAAATAGTGAAAATCAGGAACTGACCAAGCAGATTAATAAATAAGTAAATTAAATATTCATAACCTCCAACTTGTAAGGATTTTGCTAAGCATATACCGAGTGTTTGGCATGATTAGAGACACATGAATTCTTTGTTCTCTAGCACAGCTTTGGCAAAAAGGGTATTCAGCCACAGTGGGTTAAACAAATATTTATTAAAACTTACAACACAAAACATACAACATAATAATCACTCTATTTACAAGTTTACAGCCAAGGTATTTCAGAGAGATGCAGATTTGTTTAGATAATTGATTTTTCTCCAAAGAAAATAATTGGAAACACCCTATAGAAATGAATTCAACATATAATAAATTGGGTTATATAAACATGACAGAATTTTATCTCCCAAAACATTAGAATGAATTCAATTCCAAAAACCCAATTTAACGATCCGTGTAAAGATGTGTGCTCTTACTGTTGTACACAATCGATTAATTATCAGAAAGCCCCATATTCATAGCAAGGATTGCTGCAATTCTGTCCCAGGTGCATAGACTGAAAGATGGTACTAGTGTACCATTCTGAAACAGTAAATATTTTTTTCTCTGGTGAGATTGATTTTTATTTGAAGATCAGTTCACTTTCATGACACATTGTACTGTAAGGCACAATGAAACTAGAAATGTGTAAAATGATATGTAACTTTGTGGGTGGCTTGTTGCAGAAATGTTCATATATCTCTTGGTCATCTGAATGATATTAACAGAGAGCTGAGTTTCAAAACAATTGGAAGATCCAAACTGGTTGATTACAGAGTGAAAAAAATTCTATTTAATTTGTTTTCAAAAGTAAGAGAAAAAGATCAAAGTTTGTGCTTAGTGAGGAGGCTAGTTTGTCTTTTTTGGCAGTTGTTTTGCATGTATTAGTTGACATGCATTTTGTCAACAGGCAGACGTACGCAGGAAAGAGTTCATAGATAAAGTGAAAGGCCTAATGAGGAAACTGGTAGATTTTGCACCAGTGGATGCAGCAGTGGATCAGAAAGCCAAAGATTTCCTGCATGACTGCCTTCCTCCTCTGCTTACCAAAGGTACTGGTTATGTGTGTAAGAAGGAACAGGCCTGTGTAACGGTCACTGGATGCCTTGTATGGACAATTCACTTCATTTATTTGCTTTGCAATGACAAAAGAAACCTTGAATGTTAAGTTTACTATACTTTTCTGATAGCATTTCTATTAAGCATTTCGTAAGATATCCAAAATGAATTGCTTTTGTTTAAAAAAAATCCAAAATGTGAACATTCAGCATTGTAGATTAGATTGTGATTCAGTACCAAGTGATTTAACCATAAAGATAGATAGATCTCATGAATTAACTCATTAGTTTGGAGATGAATCCTGTAATTCAAACTTCTGTTTAAGCTTGGGTTGTGTCATTATATGATTGTGGTAAATTCCCCATTGGCCACACAGTCATTCCTTCTGTAATTGTTTCTTGTAGCATGTCTGACAATGAATGGTTGAGATAGACATGTCGCAGGAAAGCATGCATAAATTCTCATACTTCCCACTCAGTGTTAGGATTCTAGCATTAAAATGAACACCATAATTCCAAATTAAGTGGGAACAAAAATAGAAAATGGTGATTCTATTTTAAAAAAAGACAGAAAGAATTGATTCGGACTGCATTAATTGATGGGATTGTATACTGATATTTCATTTTTAAAATTTAAAATGTTATTTATTTGCTCCAAGCTAATGATCAGTTAACTCGTATACTAATTTTAATCCTGTTTCACCAGTGCTGTTATTTGTTTCTTTACTGTTTCTCTAAAGTCTTTAATAATATAAATACAACAAATCAATAAATTATACTTGCACTGTTTATTTTTATCTATGGTGTATCTGTCATGGGTTGTCTTATAAATAATCTATGGATTATCCTTGCAGAGGAAAAATCAACCAGTGTTTATGGTGCTCCAACAAGGTGGGAGAATGGAAACATTCGAGATCTAAAGCTGCACTTTATGGGAAAAACTAAAATCAGATTACTTCGGCAAGGTATTGTCAGGTATGTTTCATATGTCATTACCAACTACTATAGAAAAGGTAGGTGGAAATAGGTGTTAAACAAACATCATCCAGGTGGATGCTGCACATTGGTGGGTGTGGAGGGGATCCCCATTACCTGTAAAGCGCTTTGAGCGGAATGTCCAGAAAAGCGCTATATAAGTGTAAGCAATTATTATTAATTATTATGTATCATTTGTGAAGCTATACTGTATTTCACACCCAGTTTTCCCTGTGATGTACGTATTTGTGATTATTTTAGAGACTAATTTACCATGTTTAGATATATTAATCGATTTTAAATTGTGGAATATCAATTGCCTATCATATGTGAAGTAGGTTATCACATGTATTGATAAATGACATCTGATTTTTAAAATTGATACACAACCCAGTTTTTAATTCTTAATTCCGTACAACCAAGAGCTTTCAGGACATGTAAAAATGATCAGTACTTTGTTTTCATGTAAATAGACCTTGTTTTTTATAATGTAATAATTATGCACCATGACTAGTGTTTTTTTTACTAAAAGCAAAACTGGGTACTATTGTTGAATTATTGTTATTGCAGACTATGCAGTGAGGGAGAAGGTGTCATTCTTTATCACACAGTGCATAATTCCAGAGTATACCACAAAGAGGAGCCAAAGAGCTTCGAAATAGAATCTGAGGTAAGCCTGTACAATTTGTTTTACAGAAGCTTTTTAAGAAAAGAGCTTATCAATTCAGAATCTCTTTACATCATACCTTCATATGCAATAAATGTAGTTTTTTTCATCAGCATATTCCAAATTGTTAATTTTGATTCTTTCGGTTTCTGTAATATGGTATAATTTTTTTTTCTTTGAGCTTTAAATTGCCTTTTTTTAATATTGTTTTTCATTTTAAATTTTGACTATGAACTCCAAATACTGAATTTAAAATAAGACAAATTATTAGGATTTTAATATTTCTTTCTGGGTGTCTAATTACCCAACAAAGAAAACATGACACCTGTTCATGGTTAAATTATTAATGCTTATTAATTTTATTTTTTTAAGTCATATATATTTAATCACAAATCAGGTTCAGAAAAAAGAACAAGAATGATTCCTTAATGTGTTTAGTAGACCTAAAGTAGTAAAACTGAATTAACATAAAAATAAAATTATTGTCCCAGGTGAATTTTGCTTAATCCTTGGTTCTTTTTCTGTTGTAGTGCTGAAACATTATCATATTTATTTTAGCCTCCACTAATTGGAGGCTTAATTGGTATTACTACCTGATTGTACCACTTCTGGAATTATGTATATTAAAATATCATCCTACAGATATTTTTGGAGTATTAGATTTCATCTGAATCTTTTTCAGTTTGCTTTGCAGCTTCTACAATGTTTGCTAAAACTCTAATTTGACATCTGTAAAGTTGGATTATATACTAACTATACCAAAATCTAGATCATTAATACAATTTAAGAAGATCTGTGATTCTAATGCAGATCTGTCATACATTACTCTTTATGTAATACTCTTAAAGGACACACCTTAGATCTAATTATTGCAAATGACTCCTTTGTCTCCCACTGCTCTCCCCTTGATCTAGGCCTCTCTGACCACTTAGCCATTCTCTTCAATCTGGAATTACCTGTTTCTAACACTTCCCCCTCACGCTCTGTAAATTTCCGCAACTGGCGATCAATTGATCACCCAAGGTTTGCAAATTCTGTTCTGTCCTCCTTATCCTGTTTTTCTTCCTCTGACCCTCTAGAGGACAAAATACAGTTACTTGACAATGCTCTTTTATCTACCCTCGACACCTTTGCTCCTTTGAAAACTCGAACCATCTCCTTCTCTCGCCCTGCTCCCTGGTACAATGACCATCTGCAATTTATGAAGGCAGCCTCTCGCAAACTTGAGTGTATGTGGCGTCTTTCCGGCCTAAATGTACATTATCAGGCCTGGAGAGATTACTTATCTGATTATAAGGTTACTATAGAGTCTGCTAGATCCACCTACTTCTCTCACATCATTGAAAATCACCAAAACAATCCCAGACATCTTTTCTCC